CATCTCAGGTTGAAATGGGAGCACCGCCCATGGATAGTAAAACCACTTTTTTGTAATAAACTGAAAGTGATCTTTTGACAGGTGTTGCTGGGTACAAGTGTATCGATCAATACTTAAGTGGCCATTTACTACTGCATTTACGGATAGATGCTATTCGGTGATCGTTTATGAAAGTGCCGAGAGTGCCATATTTGTGGTTTCTGTTTCGAAGTTGTGTTATGATTGTTCTCCGAGATATTTGCATTTGTGTTGACAAGTGAAGAGGCACAAGGCAGGCGTACTGTCTCATCCTTTTAAAGAAAGTGAGCGTGCGAGTGAGGGGCGCCCGAGCGATGACCTTGTAGCCATGGATGCCACAAGGGAGTTTACGTGGGGCGGCGGTGGGGGTGGGAGTAGCGCTGCTGGTGCGAGCGACCCTGCACGGGCGGTCCTGGTGGTGGGCGGAGGCGGCGTTCGCGGACGACTGCCTCAGCGGGGCGTGTACAGGGCGCTCTCAGGGGTCACTTTCCAGCATCTCGATCTCTACGTCCGCCAGACGTCGTCATGCCACGACCCTGCGTTGCCTTCGGAGGACGACGAGGGGTTGGACTCCCTCGAGAGTCAGACTCACACCCTCACGCCCTCGCCCGACCTCGCCCAAAGGGGCCACGTGCAGGCCGACAACCCGCCGCATGCCGAGGGTGGCTACTTCAGCCTCGAACGATGCCTGAGTGACGAAGACGCCGCGAACCTGCACGATTCGCTGGAGAATCTGATGATCCAGTACCAGTCCCCGGCCTCGAACGCGGGCCACCCTCACTTCTCGGCGAACTATCCTCATCCCTACCAGGGGTACCAGCACCCGCAGAAACCGCCGAGCCACGCCCACTTCACACGCATGCCCGCCTACGTCAACCCGTCCTTCCAGCACCAAGCGCCCTTCGTGAATCCCCCGCCATGCCACGACTATCCTGCGGCAGATCCTAGCTACCTGCCGGCCAGGACCTATCCCCCCAGCAGCGGCCACTACATTTCGGAGAGCGACTACGAGTCCATGTACCACCAGAGGGACGGCTATCCCGTGCTCGAGGACGTGTCTCGCGGCGGCGCGTACGAGCGGCAGGTAGGTGATGTGTACTCCTCGCACGGGTCGTACCAGACCCCCGAGACCTTCCAGGCCAAGACGAACTACCTCTATCCCAACTACTCTCCCGCGAGACACGGTGGCGCCCGGGAATCTGGGGGAAAGGATGAAAGGAAGGCGAGTGTTCTGAGCGCCGATTCCCTCGAAGACCTGCCTCAGAGCCCGACGTCTCCCGTCTCCCCGCTGCCGCCGATGGAGGGTCGTAAGAGTTCCTGTTATAACGACTCCTTGGAAGACGTCCGTCCAAGACTCGTCAGCGAACTACGTGAATTCTTTGAGCGGCAGAAGTCTGTTGCCAGCAACAGCAGTCCAGAGTCTGACAGTCTTCAAGATCGTCGACCCGACGCGGAGAAGAATTCTGCCAACACAGAGAGCGTCCAGCCGAAGGAGAAAATATCTGCAGAGGTCCAGGTTGACATCAGCTCGTCAGTCTCGAGTGACAAAACGGAAGATGCGGACACTAACACGACGGAAGAAGAGACCGTGGACACGACACAGGAATCGTCCTCAGACGACCCGACGAAGGAGTTATTAGAGTCTCAGAAGGAGACACCTCCCACGTCGAATTTGCGGTTAGGAGACGTGGCGTTCCTCAGGGCAACGCAAGACACACCGCAAACACTCCTAGCATCTACGAGGCTCGTGCAGGCTACGCTGAAGCCTTCCCCCAAGGCCACTACCTTCTTTATTAGTCTTGAAAGCAAATTTAAGGTTCCTGAGTTCGAAGACACGAAGAAGGAAGAGGAATCAGACAAGAAAGAAGAGGAAGAAAGTGTCGCAACCAGCTTTAGGGACAATTCGTCTTACACGTCGAGCGACAGCAAAGAGACGCAGTCCTCGCCGAACACGTACGAGGACGAGACCGACTCCTGCGACCCGGCCGATTACCAGGAGTCCCAGCTGATCCTCCGTCACTTCGTCGCCGACTGGGAAAACGAGTCCCCGCCGAGCGACCACGAGTCGGACATCGACGAGTTCTTCTTGGTGCTCGACTCGACCGGAGGGCAAGGCAACTTCAACTTCCCGTCAGACAGCTCGTCCGTGCTGTCCTCCGTCGGGAGCTCTCTCTCCGACCAGAAGTCAGACAATCACTTCCAGGAGCAGGACTCGTACGACGACGGCAACCTGGCTGACGTAGGAGAGCCCGACACCTCCAGCTCAGGTCTGAGTCCGGTGGCAGAATCCACCAGCACCGAGAGTAATTCTCCCACTCCGGCTCTTCCAGAACCTTCGGACGAGAAAGACGGCTTCCTTGACGCTGCTCCCCACAACGTTATTGTCAAGCCTTTTTTAGGATTAGGTAAGGGCAGTGCTCAAGAGTCTCATGCGGGTTCTGCCCTGGGTACCGAAAACACAACTGTTGCTCATCCTGACTCTCTCGGCGAAGAGGGGCACGATAGCGACGAATTTGAGACCGTCATTGACACCGTACTGTGTGACAGTGATGACAGTTGCCATGGGTCCTTCGATGGCAACACTAACACACTACTAACCCCAGAACTAACTAACCCGCCGCTGGCAGACGCCACCGATGAGTCTGCTCCAGCGTCGACTCCGTCCAGTGATATCGAGGCTTCTATCGAAACCGTGCGCAATTTCGACGCTCATTGCAAATGCAGCCCGACGTCAGATGCCGGCGAAAAATGTGCTGGGAAACGTGCGGATAGATTGACTTCGGATCTAATCAAGGCCGATGCACCTGTCATGACCGGAAATGATCACAATCAGAGTGCAACATTGTCCGGTCAGGGAGTCGCGGACCCGATAGGGCCTCATTACGCAAATTCGCGTGATCCGCGTGAAAATGAGGTCACAAGTGGCCGGAGCTCCGCCCCGGGTGAGGCAAGCGGCACAGATGCTGACCCACACGCTACTACCGTCGCAGCCGCTCAGCTGGCAACTTGCACTTTCGATTTCGCTGCAGAGGACCAGCCTACCCCTGACCTTGAGGCACTGGCCACTTTGATAGCGGAGCGGATCATGAGTGGCACCCTACCATCGACCAGTGCCAGTCAGAGTGGGCCAGGAGGCACTACCGCTCACCTCGCGCCAGGAATACACTCAGCCACTCGCAGCTGTGACGACTTGCTCGTGACGAGGTCAGTCACTGTCAGCACATGTGAGGGTACGGACGGCGCTCCACACTTGCCCCTTGATACAACGTCGCCTCCTGTAGTAAACATCGATTCATGCGAAAGTGAAAGTGATCAGCGTGCAGCGGCCAGCATGAGCGGCGAGGTGTGTGACCTGCAGTGCGCGCATGCCCTTAGTCAGGCGGAAAACTCAGTGAGTGAGACATGCAGTGAAGATACGAGTCCGGCGGCGGTGAACGAGAGTAAGGGTGGAATGAGTGAGAAAGAGAGCCACAAATCGTGTGAAATGCTTAGTCGTTCGCTGTGTCAGGATGAACATCACATCAAAGAATATAGTGACAATGTTGTGAAAGAAGTGATAAAAGATATATCTCGGCAAGTGTCTAAAACATCCGATATAGGTGACGAAATCATGACAGACACCGAGGAGGACTGTAGGAGCGCCGATCAGACCGCGGCGAATTCCCACGCCAATCCTGCCAGCAAATCCCCCGCGACGACGCCCCACTTCGAGGCTCCCAGGCCGGTGTTCCCGAGGAAGGACTCCAAAGGGTCGACCTGCGATTCCATCGAGAGTCGCAAGACGTCATTCAGCTCCACGATCACAACCCCCGATGATGAATTCATCGACGTGTCTCCCTCGGGAGACACGCCCGTCAGGAGGTATTCGAACTCCTCCGGAATTTCGTCTTTATCAGAGACGAGTGCCAGGAAGCTGTCGTTCTCGTCCTCGATGTCAGACGACTGGGAATGGTTCCCGGGAAGGAAGAAGAGCATGCGGGGCCAGGCTCTCCACGAGTACAAAGCAGCGCCGACGTCGCCGACGGAGTTGGGGGAGAACGCTGACGTGCGAAAGATGTCCGGCGCAAGCACGGCGTCCATGCAAAGTTCAGGGATCAGCTCCATGACCGGATCTGCTTGTGAATCTAGTCTGAGTGAAGGGCGAAAATTCTCAGCAAGTTCTGGTGTTTCCTGCTTGTCAAAGATTAAAGAGGAAACGAGGATGGTCACTGATGAGGATTTAGCAAAATTGGAGTCATATGAACAAGATAAAGACGTACAGACTATGAAGGAAAAAGAATTCTGTCACAACATCACCCCTGATGGAAAACCACTCACCCTCCCCCCACCAGTGTGGCCTCGAGGTGCTGTCAGACAGGAAGTCAGCGAGAGCAACAAGCATCCCGCTCTTGTTGACCCTCAGAGCATGAATTATGCAGACTCCAAGACGGAGAATCTAGAATTTCTCGTCAAGAGAGCTGAGATCTTGAAAAACTCCAACAGCAAAATTCGCATAGAGCAGCAGAAGCTCGACCTCCCCCTGATTTGCCCTTCGTCATGCCCGCTCAGACGGAAGGAGTACATGTCAAGTGATGATCTCGGCCACCTCCACTTGCACACCTCCGAGCAGAGCGACAAGGAAAAGAGAAAGTCGCTAAATTTTGTGCCTAAACTCATCAAGCCAAAACCGCGAAGCTCCCTGCGCTCGAGGAGGCTGACTCTTCACACCTTCGAAAACATAGCAGACCAGTGGAGGAAGCAAAATGGCGCGAGCAACGAAGCCGCAGAGAAGAGCGAGTCCGCGGAGATCCTGGACGATAACGAGCCTCCCGAAGGCATGGAGAAGGAGGTGGAGTTCAGGCGTAATTTGGTTCGCGATCTCGAGAGACTGGAGGCCGAGATCGACGCCGAGGTGCTGGCGCTTGAATCGGAGTCCATGAAAGGCGGGAGTGACTCATCCTCAATCGCTGTCGTCTTCGATAGCAACGAGTCAGTAGCGTCAGGTATAAGCTCTCTCTGCGGCAGACAGTCTGAAGTCGACAATGCAGACGAGACTTCCTCCATATACGAAGCAGACAGAGAGATCGTCGAGTCTAACATTTCTCATGCAGGTGCCTTTAGCGAGAGAAAAGCTAAGAATATGAGCCTGGCGTCTAAGATCGACCGGGTCCTCCCACTCGACCTGGACAGCGATCTAAATAAATCGAGCAATGAAGTAGTACTCGAGTCGGGGAATTTCACGCCGCAGTCGGACTCAAAGTCTCTCCCAAACCTGATGGAAGTGGGAGAGGCAAAGATCCTGGACGACTCTACGCCCGAGCCCAGGGACCCCAAGGACCCCAAGAGGGAAAGCTTAAAGTCCTGCAGGAGCGCGGAGACGATGCTGAGCGTCGAGGAAATCGTCCCGTGCAGCAACTACGAGTTCAGCGAGGTCGCTTTCCCGTCGATGATCGGGTACGACGAGCTTGAGGAGCAGGAGGTCATCGAGAACTTCTCCGACGAAGACCTGGTGACCGACGCCGAGTTCGAGGCCTTTTCGGAGACGGAGCACGACACGGACATGGACAACCTGAACTTGGACCTGTTCGAACCCACGGCGGGGAGCAAGGTGGACGGCAAGATGCTCTCCAAGAGGCAGCGGAAGCTCAGAAAGCTGAAGAGGAAATTCAGCTTCAACAGCAACGACAAACAGCCGAAGGACATAAAGGGCACCATATCGTCTTCCCTCAAGAGGATCAAGGACGCCAAGCACAAGATCGGTCGGCTCGTTCATAAGACTCTGAAGACGGAGGTCGCTCCCGCCGTCTCTTCGGTCGAATCCCTCGAAGCGCTTGCGAGTTCTCAGGCAGCGAATCTCCGCACGACGCACCTGGATTTTTCGAATTTACATTCCAAGGCCCCTTTGGAACGCAGCGACTCACATTCCTCAAAAGCATCAGGAAGTCAACATTCCGAAACAACTCAGGATGGCACGGAATCTAAAGCATCCGATCCCATAGCGGGAGTGACCAGAAACGCCTCGAAATCCTCGGAAGACAGCCACTTCCTTGGAATATGGGAGAGGCGGCACCAGGACGGCCAGGAGTCGGCGTACTCCTGGTCCGACGCTGACAGTGACTTCGAGTACCTGGCGATGGAGCCTCCCAAGACGGTGGTGGTGTACAAGGAGGGCTGCGGTGCCGACGCGCCCTCCACGGCGGCCCCGAGTGCTCATCAGCTCCCCGCGGACAACAAACAGCAGACGGCAGGTTCTGCATCGCAAGAAGGTGAGTAACGGTCAATGCATGGGTGGCTGGCGGAATTTACTCTCACCAACAATTGATGAATGATGTTATTTCCAGGCGAAATCGTTCTTTAATATGTTCATGCGATAAGTTTCGTTGATTCATATATATATATATATATATATATATATATATATATATATATATATATATATATATATATATATATATATATATACATGCATACATACATACACATACACATGAGTTCTTATATTTCTGTATACCCTTACAAAAGATTTATCATATGATAAATATTCTGAACATACGTTAGGAAAAACTCCTCACTTGCACAGAATACGCATATAATCACTGATACCTCCATTTTCAAAAACCAACATTCCCACAACTTAAAATGGTAATCGATCCCCTCCGACTCGTACACCCCCCCCCCCCCCTCTCTCTCTCTCTCTCTCTCTCTCCTCTCTCTCTCTCTCTCTCTCTCTCTCTCTCTCTCTCTCTCTCTCTCTCTCTCTCTCTCTCTCTCTCTCTTCCTATTTCTACATTTCCTTGTTCTTTTTTTCTCTTCCCCCTTGGTTCCTGTTTCTACTTTTCTTTGTTCTCCCTCTTTTTCTCTCTCTATAAATGATCACCCCGATAACAGTCCTCCGCATCCTCATATTATGCTCCTCGTCTTGCCACACCTCCTCCGTTCCTTGACGTCGAGAGAGCGCCAACTCCGCGGGGGTTGTCGGGACGGACGCGCGCCGGGGACAGGTGTGGCGGGGGAACCGAGCACCTGTGGAAGGAAACAAGTCGGCTGATAATCATAGGTTTGGAACTGGGTTAAAGCCTTTTATAATGCGAGTTCTACAAGAGTTCCCTTTCGTTGCGAACATGAGCTATTGTTTATCGGCGCGAGGATCAACGAGAATTTATCATTTTCCGATTTTAGGATATTGCATTCATCGGTTTAAGATATCATTAAGTTTCTCAATATATTAAGTCTAAAGTCTCCTCCCGCCGAATGTCAATGAACTAGAACTAAGGACAGTTTAGCTGTTAATAGGTTGGCCAGCGACCCCCCCCCTCCACTCGGTCGCTCTCTGCACAGGAAATTCGACCTTAATTCAATCATTTATAAGGACAGATTAGAGCTACTGAGCCTTACCTCCATAATTAGGAAATTGATTAAATCAAATTAGATTATTGACGGTGAATGAAGGTCTTCTATCATAGCTGCTTATTACGTTCGTATATGCATGCAGACGGGAATTTATTTATAGATAAATCGGTAGATAAACATAGATATATTGACAGATAGATCGATAGACAGATAAGTTGATACATACATAGGTATGTACATAAACACACACACATGTATATGTGTGTTTGTTATGTGTATGTGTTTAAGTATATACATATGTGTTATGTATATGTACGTACATATACATGTATATACATATGTATATGTACACACACACACACACACACACACACATATATATATATATATATATATATATATATATATATATATATATAGAGAGAGAGAGAGAGAGAGAGAGAGAGAGAGAGAGAGAGAGAGAGAGAGAGAGAGAGAGAGAGAGAGAGAGAGAGAGAGAGAGAGAGAGATAGGTATAGGTATATGTACATATAAATATCTGTCTATCTATCTATCTATCTATCTATCTATATATATATATATATATATATATATATATATATATATATATATATATATATATATATGAAAGCATAAGATCGTACCTAGTCTTTGCATAATGAAACATTCCAACCATCCTGATTTGCATTCCGCTCTGCAATTGTCCCATCAAAGAGGCTGATTTCGCGAGCCCCTCCAATGACATACACCTTATAGAGCGCCATGAATGTAAACCCAACTTAATATTCCCCTTGTGATGGACGATGCGCGGACTCGCCATTTTTGCGACACGGACCCAAAAGCATCTTTGTCCTCCGAGTTTAAGCTCCGGTTGCACATTCCTTCTCTCCTCTCCTCTCCTCGACTCTACGCTGTACTCTTCTGCTCTCCTCTACTCTACTCTGCTTTTCCTCTCTTCTCTTCCTATCTATCTCCACCTCCCTCCCTCCCTTCTTCTCCTCTCCTCTCCTCGACTGTACGTTGTACTCAACTGCTCTCTTCTACTCTACTCTGCTTCTCCTCTCTTCTCTTCTCTATCTATTTCCACCTCCCTCCCTCCCTTCTTCTCCTCTCATCCCCACTCCTCTCCTCTCATTCCCTCCCCTCTCCCCTCCTCTCCTCTCATTCCCTTCCCTCCCCCCTCTCCCCTCTCCTCTCCTCTCCTCCCCTCTCTCCTCTCCTCTCATTCCCTCCCCTCCTCTCCTCTCATTCCTTCCCCTCTCTCCGCTCCTCTCATTCCTCCCCTCCCCCTCTCCCCTCTCTCTTCTCCTCTCCTCCCCTCTCCTGTCGCTCTCTTCCTCACCCCCACCACTTTCACTGGCGCGATCGCCGCAGTGATTGTTGTGGCATTTCGATTTTTTTTTTTTTTTTGCTCCTCTTTTCTTTTTATTCTCTTTTTTGCATCGCTCATGACTCGGCTTTAATAGAGACGACGCGGCGAGAATTTTAGGGTGAGTGGCGGGTGTGTAAGGTATGGAGGGGAGGGTGAAGGGGGGAAGGGGGGAAAGGAAGAGTGAGGTAGGGTGAAAGGGGAAGAGATTGAAAAGAGTGGAAGGGAAAATGAGGGTGAAGAAGGGAAGAAGAGTGAAAAAAACGGAAGGGAGAAGGAGGGTGAGGTAGGGTGAAGGGTGAGGAGAATGAGATAAATGAGAGTGAAAATCAGTGGTGTAAAAAATGGGAAGAGAAAGAAGAGGCAAGATAATTCAAAGGAAAGCTGGTAGAGTGAATAGAGTGATGCAGAGTGAAGTCAAATGATTTACGGTGATCAAAAGGAAAAGCTAAATTCACTGAGGAAATAACCTCGGAATTTTGCAAATACATATCACTACTTTTGGAGAAAGAGAAAAAAGATAGATTTTATAGAGCGAATTTATTGGAGGGGAAAAAAAATCTGCCTATCATTTTTAGTCATTTTTCCACGTTTTCACTCGTCATTGACCTATATTGAACTAACCAAAAAGAAAGAAATAGATAAAACAAGGCAAAGGAAAATCGATCGAGGATTCTCATTAACCTTTCCTTTCAATTTCTTTTTGAATTTTTGATCTTCGCTCGAGCCCGAAACACAAATCCCGACACCCCCCCCCCCAAAAAAAAAAAAAAAAAAAAAAAAAACTTCAGCATTTGATCATAAACTTCATCATCATTCAGACCGAGGGTATAATATTCTTTTAAATGAAGTGTGAGGCAGTTTAATTAAATCCGGAATGGACATTTTATTCCATGACACGTCACCGAAATTCAGTAGTGTTTTTTTGTTTTATTTCGGTGTTAAAAGGCGAATAGGGTTAAATGACGATATATGAACATGCTTATCCCTCCACACATGTAGATACGTAGATAGATAGAGAGACAGATAGATAGGTAGATAGATAGATACATAGATAGATTAGATAGATAGATAAATAGGTAAATAGATAAGTAGATAGATAGGTAGGTAGGTAAATGCATAAATAGATAGATAGATATATAAATAGATAGATAGCTAAATAGATACTATAACTAGAACCTAAAGCCTATGGGCTAGATTTAATATTCTGTTTATCTATTTATATATCCATTTATTTATTTATTCTGTCCACATTTTTATAATCATGTAATGTATACTTTTCATTAAGGTATAGAAATAGACAGATAGATAGATGAATAGATAATATAACTAGAACCTAAAACATATGGGCTAGGTTTTACTATTCTGTTCATTTATTTATTTATTCTGTCCACATTTTTTTTATAATCATGCAATGTGTACTTTTCATTAAGCCTTTTTCCTTCCGTGTAAGCAAACAGATTTATGGCGCGTTCATGTCGACATCGTAATGCACGATTTCATATTGATGTCACCGGTTATTGAACCTCCCTCGGCCACAGCGCTGATGACAGGTAACAGCTGATTATCCGTCACAGGTAACTAGCGCGGGCGAGAAAAAGGCCAATCCGTACCTGGCGATCTCCTATTGAAGTTTCCTGTATTGCTTCACACTAATCAGCCTTGGCAGGGGGCCGGCCTGTATCCCCGCTTGTATGTCGACATTTTGTAACCTTGGGCGGGTCATCTGTATTCGGCGGCCCTGGTTGTGCTACCTGGGGCACAGGTACGCACGCAGGCACACTTTCGCACACGCACATGTTTGGGTTAAGGTGCAAGTACATGGTAGCATATATGGGAATAGAAGCACACACACACACATATATACGTGCATGCATACGTAAGCGAACACATGGACGCGCACACATACGCACATGCACACCCACACAAACACACACGCGCGCGCGCGCCTAGAAACACATCCTTTTCTGCTAAAGACAAGCCAGAATTCTCTGAGGCCATTTATACTTTGTTTTGTCTTCGTGACCTTTCCATGTCAGCTCTTGTTATTCCACGCTGTCTTCATTCCTATTTTTTCTTTTTCTTCGTTTTCTTTACTTACGTCCTCTCTCCGCCTTCGCCTATCTATCGTTCATTAGATTTTTAAGCGAATGAACCTCTCTGAGCAGGCTTGAGTGACGAATACCGCCACTACTATTTCTACTACTGCGACGACTCCTAGTACTATTTCTACACCGACAGCTATTGTTGCTGCTGCTGCTATCGCTAATACTACTGATCGTGATGATGATGACGATAGTGATGATGGTGATGATGATAATGTTGATGATGATGGTGACGATGACGACGAAGACGATGTTGATAACGATAATAATGGTATCGACATTGACTGAAAACTTTTTTTTGTAATCTTGATACGGGTGTGACAAAAAAAACAACATCAGAGCGAAGCCTTCTATCTCTCTTTTTTATTCCTTTCACAAATACATATCTCAAAACTCCCATCTCGCGAAACCATTTTTATTTTGTCTCCTTCGTGTATTTTGC